GCAACTTACGTGACGGAGGAACTAGGACGTAATTCAGATTGTATCTGCGAATCATAACGTGTTAATCAATCTGAGACAAAATGTCATGTAAGACCCGATAATTGAGTTACGCTTACGCAGTTCGTAATGCTAGTATTTGGAGTACTGGGCAATGGTAAAAAGCATACAAGAAGAAGCTGAAGAGTGCCATATCAAGTGATGCCGGCATCACAACATATCGTTTGGAGTAGAGCAAATACGCGGGAGCAATCAGAATCAAGCCATGCTCTGAAAAAAAGCGGGTAAGTCGGTAAATGAATCTCCGATATGACATAGCGGCAACGGAGGGAACGACACCCTACCGACGAAAAAGTTGGTCACTTCACCGAGCATCTCGTGATCTCGCAAGTCCGGAAACAGAAGGGCAGCAATGGCTCTAGAATAAAGGTTTAATAACACATGCTTTCCACTGCTGCAGCAGAACCCCATGGTGTGGGGTGGGCTTTTTTTTTTTTTTTGTGGTATTGAGAACCTACCCCCAGGCTGTGTGCAAGTATACATTCAACAACAAGTGTGGTATAGGAGACCGCTTGTCGGGCCACATCATCACCGCTATCAAAAGACCGGCACTCACATGACAAGGCTGCAGGAGGAACATGACGGTGTTGGAAGCGATCTTATGGATAACGGTGACGACAAACGATACCGTTAAGGCAACGAGGAGGCCGATCTCAGTTGGAGACGGAGGATATGGAGGTTGAAACGTCGTCAGCATCTTGAATGCCTTGGTTCTGTAGATTATCTTGATATTTAGATCCATTCCCAATGCTGCCACCGGCTCCTTTTGGGGGGTGTACTTACTGTGATCCAAATGCTCTCCAGGCAAAGAAAAGACAGGCAGAAATCCACAAGGGAGCAAATGTAACGAATTCGAAGGCATGATGCGCTGGAGAAACGAACCTACATATAGCCGTTAGCAAATCAATGCTTGTGAGGGAGTGGAAAAGGGTTTTACCCCAGAAAAGAGTGAATGAGGTACCAAGCGCCAAAGATGGAATCGGAAAAGTCTGTTTCGGCTCCCGGACGTAAGGGGACCGAGTACTTTTCCACTATGGATCCCAGTGATTCCCAAGTCGTAATGTTGCTCGACAAAAGCATGTTCACCATGAGAAGAATGATCCTTTCCAACCTAGCGACCAGAAAGGCAAGTGGGTGAATACAAATGGGATTTCGCTCCTGTGACTGCAAAACGAACGGGGATTTCGTGAAATGCGGAATTGCGAATACTTCAATTTTATATAAGGAAAACGAAAATTATGGGAGGTAAAAACCTATGTATATGAGGGTAATGCTAAAGGAATTATTCATCAACAATCTCCATAGTTGTTTCTGAGTCTATGGAGGTTCGTAAAGTAGAGCTAGTTTCAAGGACAAACCGCCCGTTTATCATTCTGACCTGCGGAGCAAACGGGCTGTACTGGAAAATCAGCAACCAAAGACTTTGAAACAACAATCTGAATGGCATTATACTTACTTTTCTGTGAGTATGACCGCTTCTTCGCCATCTGCTTTCGTTTCACTCTGGCCATCCTCTGGACGTTCGCCTGCCTCCCAGAGTTCCTCGACACTGTCCTCTTCCAGTAGACGATCGATGTCTACTTGTCTTGCTTTGCGTCTTGGTCGCTTAGACATCCATCCAAATGGTTGTGCCTGGTACTTTCCTGGTTTTCGTCTCGCTTTCTGTTTGGCCATGACCGCCTCGATATCGGGGGATGGAAATCGAACCTTTCTCGAATGCGGTTGTGCAGATGACTGCCCCTGAACCGTGCGCTTAAGTATTGGTTTGGGAAATGATAAACTGTCGTTGTGAACATTGGACGCCTGAACAATCTTGGGTAAATCCACTAATAGATACATAGTTATAAGAGGGGTTTAGATGGATAGACTCATAGGCTCTACCGCAGTAACCGGCGTTGGTCATAAACGTTTCGCTAATTATTATTTTTTACTTACGTTCAGGCTCACTCATGATCTCTAATTCCTGTTTTCTTTCATTTCCTTTTTTCCCCTTCTTTGCATCGTTATTGTTGTTGGGTAGCTTTGCTCTAGCGGCTGGAGCGGAATGGCGGCGACCTTTGGCTACGGATGGAGTAAAGCGGGTTGTATTTTTATCTACCAAAAAGCCGGTTTAAAATAAGAATATGAACGAACAAAGGTTTCTATGAAAATATACTTACTGACGGACGGAATGACCCAAGTGGTAGTCTGCATGCAACAGTGGTGGGGTTGTCTTCAAATGTGATTCTCAAGAGCAGAAACTCTCATATGACATACTGGTTGTACGGACTTTGAATGCTTGACGGAAAAGATTGCGTTTTTCAAGCTCAGTCAGGACACGGTTGATCCCCATTTTTGGACCAGCTGAAAAAAAAAGCTTTTCGTTCGGACACTTGTTTCTTTTCCGCCATGGGTAATTCCAAACCAAAGCAGCAATCCGCTACATACTTGTCGTCTACCGTAAGACATGCTACTGACAGAGAGAGGGACAAGAGAACTAAACCAGCAGCCCTCACCAAGGAGTTCCAAACAATCGACTTTGATACCGTGGATACCAGTGTCTTGCGCAAATACAAGAGAGTCTACAAGATCAAAACGAGAAGCAAAAACGCTGACAGAGAAGAGTTGGTTCAAGCTATATCAAGGCACTTTTTGAACCAAGCCGTCAAAGAAGCTGATTCCGTGACATGCTTCCTCTACGCCATCCGCCATCGAGACAGTGTCATGCGGTTACCACTGAATGTATAAAATGAAGAAGAAGCTGTGCTTTTCTCCTTGTTTCTTTCATGTTACAGTCCTCTTTTTGATTTCCTTGTAAAACTTTCTATCCTTCTTTTTATTCCCCATCATCTTTCGTTAATACAGATCGTTTGAAACCACACGCATCATACCACACGTTCATCAAAAGTAGAGCTTTAATATGAAACAGCAAATATTAGCAAGTGGTTTGGGTAGCGAAGGGTAGCATTAAGCGCCTATTGCTTAATTGGGGTATGAAATAACTTTAGATTCGAGTTCTCTTGCTATGAAAAAGCAAAAATCTGTAAACCAGCACAGATTCGTTTTGCATGAGCCTGCTGATTCGAAGCATGCAGTAAAGTTATAAGAACACATAGGCAACTGAAGCACCAGAATGTCAGAGTATATAGTACAGGTGGACCAGCAGCATCAAAATGAGGGTCCTGGGGTGTTTCGTCCCTTTGAGACGTCGACAAATAGAACACTGCTGTGGGAGGTAGGTGATTCCGGACCGATGGGCAGTTCTTTCAAATAATGTAGCTCAGTTTGCTCTTCTCATTGGTCTCCGTTTGTTGTATCTATTGACAGCATGTGTTAGACTTTCTTGGGATAAATGACGAACCCACCTAAATATAAAAAAAGCCAAATTCCACTTTACCATTCGCACGTCCGATTCAGTCTCCGCCTCCTCATAGCCAGACGGCTTCATGCTGATTGGAAACCCAACCGTGGTGGAGATTCCCAACGTGTCCTTGTTCTCTTGCAACGTCCTTTCTCTATGATGCTTCAAGATACTTTCACTGGGCAAAGTAGGTGCTAAGGTGAAGAATGTCAGTATGTATGCGATGGGTCTGTTTGGCTAGACTCTTCAACCTACCTGTACTGTTAAACAGCATCATCTCATCCGTCAGCTTTTGCTTCTGATTCATAATACTGTCCATGACGGATCTACGTAGTTCCGCCCGTTTGGCCTGCAAACAAGTCAATTAAGGTTAAAGGCATAGTCCGCTGGAAAGATTTAGTCTCCGCTGGAGCAACCCACTCGAATATTTTTATGCCTTACCAGAAAAGTTGCGTGGGCTGACCGAAGAGAGCTTTGCACTTGACGATGAATATCGATATTCTTATGCCGTCTCCATTCAGAGACCTGCTCCATTTGCTTTTTTCGTCTGCTATCGATGTCTGCCATAGCTAGAGAATATCTCGGATGCTTTCCCGTCGATATAGCTACTACTTCTTTCTCTATCTCGGCTAGTCGTTCATGATACAACCTGGATGTGAATGTTAGGTATGTTAAGGACGCTCTGTATCGAAGCAAAATCAGGGGAAATAGGTTTTACCTCTCTCGCAGTTTAGCAAAGTCCTGTTCTATGGATTGTAGAGCTTGGAAGGCACCCCTTCGAAGTTCCTCATAGGCCTCGGTCTCAGTTGGTTCTTCTGGTCCATCCAGTCGTTGCCTTTTACTGGGCTCGAGCTCGGTCTCACTAGTGACTAATTCATGTTTGGTAGTTGATTCCTCATGCTTGGCCGGGGTAGGGCTGCGGGTTTCCCACCCCTGGCTATCGGTTGGTTCCATCCGTGGTGACTGTAATTCGGCTACATGGCCGGACTGAGAGCTCTGCAGGTCACTGAATGGAGCATGCGAAGGGCTTTTGGTGTGTGGTGAGAGTGATTGCGGAGTGAGCGTTGCGTCGTCAGGCAGGCTGGCAGCAGGGGAATGTCGAGCATTGACTTTCAGGCTCTTCTCTTCGCTGGCTGGCTCTGCTTCAATGGGCGCCGTCATAGTAACGCACTGAAGTTGCATTGCAAATCTGGAAAACAGCTGAATTCCTCCTCTCCCGGAACCTACATTCCAAGAACTTGAGTGCGTGACGGTGTTCCCCCTTCGCAGTTCAAGCGGAGATCGACGTCACCTCACATCATAAAAGCCATTTTCTACCAAGGTCATGGTTTCGAAGCATTCTTTTGACATCAGTTTGATAAAACTGCTATCAATATATTCATTTGAAGTGAAATTTAGAGTAAAATAGGAGTGCTGCAGCAAAAATAATGATAAAATGGCCACCAAAAATAAACCCTCCACACCAGGATCAAAATGAAAAATCGGGAGAGCGAAAAAAATATATAGTACAAATGTATTATAAAACATGCTCTTCACCAGCATTGAACTTGCCAGTCCATGAAACTGATCGGAGAACAAAAAATATACTGAACAGCAAAAGGAATGCTCCACACCAGGATCGAACTGGTGACCTTCAGATTATGAGACTGACGCGCTGCCAACTGCGCTAGCGAAGCATCTGCTTTTTGGGCAATGATTCAAAAGGTTCTGTCGAGAAGATGTTTCACATATGCAGAAAAGCGATTGTACATTATGCTGCTACAAGTGATTGGACTCTTCATTTGGCTCCACAGTTGGAGAGAAAGTGTAAAGAGGAAGACAATCAACTGATCCGTTTGTAGCAGCACAGAGTTTCAGATTTTGAGCTAAGCACCCATAAATGTTTCAGATATAGTATGTAATTTTTTATGAGCCAGCCTGTATGCAACTATGTACTTTATCATCTATGAGGCAACAGCATAAAATTAAAAATCGAAAGAAGTTAGCTTGTCCTCTAATGAGTAAATGAGGGGATAAATTATCACATCACTCAACAGCGGACGGTGAGATAATTTTATGCAGCATTTGTGCTTGAGTGTGGCGTACGGCGAATTATTTTGGTTCGTTGCAGCATGCATGAAGGAAGCATTTGATTCTTCACCAATTCTTGATATAATGCATCTTTTTTCACCGTCCATATCGCTTTATCGTACCAGACCGCTTGCATTCCTACCATATAGGTAGCCCCTGCACTCCACTACTCTGTTCCATCGGCTGTCTTACTGGCCCTGTAGTGCCTATATCTCAAATGTTCCTAGAGGCCGTGCAATTTAATAATTTGGTTGCTACGAAACAGCAGATAGGAGTATAGTATGCAACTGAAAAATAAACTGGCACTCACTGATGTGGAGAAAACGTGGAAACTTGAAGAGCTTCCAGTATCCTGCGCTGACAAACGAGACTGTTGAAATTCTTTACGCACTCTACAGGACATGCGATTTTTTCATTGATCTGTTCCAATACTTGCATTAAAGCCGGTAGTGACAACACACCCAGGTCCAATCTTTTTTTCTTGGCAACTTGCCAGTCAGTTTAATCTCGCTTGCTTTGTGGTGAGGTCATACTTTATACTTTACAATGAATGCCTTGCCTCATGTTCAAAAAAAAAGCTCACTCACTGAATAACTCACTGAACCACCCTTGGAAATGTTCCTTCTAAATAAACAATTTCAAGGAAAATACTCAGCATTTATGCTGTTTGCATGATTCTTTCAGGTCAACATAACAGCTAACCATGTATTTCATTTATGACAATTTAAAATTGATGGACTGATAAACGTAAAATAAAAAATACCGACGGTAATGAAGGAAAAGAATGAAGAAAAGAAATGCTTTTTTTTTGCTGGATAGCTTGTAAGAAGCGAAATCCTGCTTTACGGCATGTGCTCGAAAGTCTTATTCAGTTGCCATTTCCTGTTTCTGGCCACCGCGTGCAGCGCCTCCCTTTCGTGCGGCCTCTCTTGTTCTCTCGCTGCCTTTTTCAAACTTTCCACTGGAAGCTTGACCACCCTTGGATGCAATAGCGTGCTGCTTATCGGCGTCCATGGAAGCGAATCCTCCAGTGTGGCTAGACTGTCCTCCCTTCTTAGCGATTTCTCTGACTTCCTCCTTGGGACGGTTGGCAAAGTTACCAGGGTTTTTGTTTCCGTGCGAGTTCATAGTGTAGACGATGTGAACAAGTTACAAAAGTCGAATCCAAGGTTTTTCGTCGCATTATATAGAGAGTGCTGCGAAACTGGCTTGGTTTGACTTCTGTAAGCATTACGTTATGCTACTCAATTATTCATGCAATGCGCCTGAAGGTACGTTCAGCATGGTTGTAGTGCAAGGACGAAAAGGAACCTTTCTTTTCCACCAGATTCTTTTGTTTCCCGTGAAAAGTGCTTTCTATGGTCATTCAATTTGCCATATTAGTTTGGAAAAACCTTAACGGCCTATTATACCGTGACTGGATTGTTAAAAAGTTACGGAAACAGGCTTTTTTTTTTTTCAAACACGGCATATACGCATCATGGCAGTGACATGATTTTCTCATCATGCTCCACAGCGCCATCGTATGAAAGGAATTTATAAGGCATGAAAGATTTGTGGTCAACACAATGATTCACCGCATTACCTGAAAGGCCCCTGTTCAAAAGGTATCACAATATACTGCTTCTATTTATTTACATGACATCTATAAGGTAGGGGTGTCGATTGCGTCTATGATGCCACCGCCTAGACACCAGTCACCGTTCCAAACAACCACATTCTGACCTGACGCAATGCCTCGTATTGGCGATTGGAATTCGACATCATAATGACTATTACTCTTCTTCGTAATGGTACATTTGATAGAGGATTGTCGATATCGAACTTGGCCGTCCAAAACAAGACTACCATTCACTTGGTTCAGTTCTGGAGGCTCGCCGTTTATCCAAATCCAATCTCGAGCCGTCAGACGATGTGCGAACAAAGTTGGATGATCGGTACCAGGCACACAGATAAGTTTGTTACTGGTGACATCCTTCCCGGCTACAAACCACCTGTCTGTTCCATGATGAATATGGGCTCCTTGGCCAATGGTATAAGCGAAAAGTCCGCGGTGCTGTCCAATGATGTTGCCTTGTAAGTCGACAGCTGGTCCTGGTGGAGCATGTATGTATTGCGCCAAGAAGTCAGCAAACTTGGCTCGTTTCCCAACAAAACAGATTCCCATGCTTTCTGGTTTCTTGACAATACTATCCAAGCCATGGTGCAGTGCCAGTTCTTTCACTCTCGTTTTCGGCAGGTGGCCGAGAGGGAACATGACTCGACTGAGTGCCTGTTCACCCACAGCAGAGAGATAGTACGACTGATCCTTGCTGGCATCCATTCCTCGCAGCAGTTTCGTGATGCCGTCTGAACGATCTATTCTTGCATAATGGCCGGTGGCGAACCATGTCTCTGCACCGGCTGTGGAGGATGAAATGCTGCATTTTTCCAGCAAGGCACCGAACTTAATTTCTCGATTACACATGACATCTGGATTGGGAGTCACCCCTCGCTCATAGTCGTCGAGCGTCTTTTGGAAAACTTGGTTCCAATATTCTTTGGTGAAGTCAATTCGGCGACAAGGGATGTCTAGAGTGTCGCACACCGACTGTACATCACGATAGTCTTCCTCGCTGGTGCAAACGCCTCGTTCATCAGACGTATCCCAGTTTCGCATATAGACCCCCTGTACCTTGTAGCCTTGCTCTTTGAGCAAAATAGCTGACACAGACGAATCGACACCTCCGGACATGGCCAGAATCACCGAATCCCCTGGACTCGGAGATCGCTTGGACGGCAATGTGTGCGAACACCGGCTGCCTGATATAATTGGTTTGCTAGCATGTAGACGGTATAAGGAATTGAAGAAACGACATGCTATGCTGGTGGCTGCATTCCGGTGAGCCAGCATTAGAAAAGATTTTAATGTACAAGAAAATCAGTTTGAACAAAGAAAAAAAAAAAAAAAATTGGGATGAAAAATATTATGGACTCGGCTGATTGGAAAAACATTAAAAAAATTGATAAAATCGCTTCTATAAGATATATATTTGTGATATTTACGTATACCAGTTCTCCAAAGATCTCTTGAAGTTGCATCATGGCTGCGCTGGTTTATAATTATAATGCTGGGTGACTCTATAATAAGTCTGCGGACTGTAGGCGGCATAAGAGTGATTCACTGAGCCTTGGACTATCGCTGCTAGTGGATTGTCTGGGTGTCGGTGGGGGGTTGAAATTCGGTAAAACGCAGGATAGCCTAAACCTTGCATTCTTTGTGGGTTCAGGGATCTCCTTTACTGATTCTGAAAGTTGTTCGTGCGATTTACAGCGTCTGATGATGGACGTTATTCGTTTTCCAATATGTGTGGGCTTTGCAAAATCTAAAAAGGAATGGATGCTGTTGGTGGGTGACTGGTTTGGCATGACAGTTTGAGAATAATCTGGCAAATCGCCCCACACAAGACACAGGTCGTCCCCTTGAATCCTTTCTGAATATTGCGGTAAGGTGACAAAATCTTCACTGGTAGCCCCTGCTCGAAGCACCCACATTTTTGAGTCCAGCATAACTTCTTTAACTAAAAGCGGTCGAGATCCTACTTCGGCTTCATTTGGGTTCGGTATGGATACCTTGATTAAGACCTGAATCCAATGTTTTATATTGATATCTCTGTAAGATGTTGAAGGGTGAAGTGGTATTTTGCGATCATCAGGCACTTCATAAAATATACGGTCCTCCCATGGTGCTCCGCGAAGATCATCCATGTTGATGCCTAGATTAGGTGAAACTTGATCGGTTCTTCGTAATGTAATCTTGTGATTGATGATACGCGTTACGCCCTTTTCTGGCGCCCTTATCGTGCACCTCTCATGTATCTTGACAGTGACGCCTTCTATCCGAGCTTTGGGAACCAACGATGCAAAGCGTAATGACACTGGTAAAGTGGTTCCTGGACTGACAATGTGTTTTTCAATGGTGATGCTGTACTCTCCAAATTCTGGAAGCCCCCTTGAAATCGAAATAGATTCCGCTGGGCATTCTCCAGATACTGACACGTCCACAGGTAATCGAATAAGTTGTATTGGGACTTCGGCAACGATTTCGTTTGATAATGGAAATCGCCGGGGTCGACGCATGGATGCTATCAGTCGGTACTCGACGTATCCAAGTTCACATTCAATGGATTCTGGCACATCGTTAGGGATGAACATTTCAAAGGGGAATCGATTATAGCCGCTGTATACGTTGTATAGTCTATCAGAGTCGTTGCCATTACCAAGGTCAATATTAATGCATTGATTGATGAACCGTTTTTTGTCGTGTGTTTGGTTCCCATCAGCGCCGATGCCTTTTGCCAAAAAAAGAAAGTATGAGATTCTAATCATTTCATTCTGCCAGCATGTCTGGTGTTTGATTATACCTTCTGGCCACAGGGTTTTCGCCACTCCAACAAGTCGAAGGCGGATATCCTGAATCACCGTAAGTCGACTACTGTGCACGACAACGAACCCACGAATAATGTTGTTATATTGAACAACATTAGAATTGCCGCCACGTATATAAACAACTGGTTCAACCAGTTGAATTGATATAGATTTCTGGAACATTTAATGTCGTGGAATG